ACTGATCAAAGACCAATGTTTCTGCCATGAAAACGCTACATCCAGATGAACAGAATCAAGCTTTTGGGATTGACTCACCTGGATGATTGAGCATTAAGACAGATAATTGACAATGTTTTTCAGTTTTAATTTACAGAGTAACCAGAAAGCAATGGAGTGAGCAGTGTAACAAATCCCTTTCTTTGGTGAGTAATTGAGTGACGTACTGCATTACTTTTAAAAGAAGTAATGTGCCATATATTCTTTTTTTGAGTAATGATACCAGCACTGATCACAAACATTTAATCTCAGAGTAAATCTCCTCTATGACTCACACACTAAACATGGACTTTGACTAAAGCTTTACAACAAACGGGTGCTTTAGTCCTCCTGTTCAGTGAAGAAATGTATTTATTAAAGAAGTGTATTTCACTAGTCCACAACTTATGTCTGACACTATAAGGACTTTTACAGATAAGAGGTTTTCCGCAGTTTTTGTCATTTTGAATGCAAGCATGTATATTGTAGTGCAGGCCAAAATACCCAACAGTATACAATACTTGAAATGACCTGAATACAAAAAAGCTCACAGATAAAAAATGTTAATTTACTGCATATTTATGCATTTTATATGAATAAAACACTGTGAAGATCATCATTTTTCTCCTTTTTTGTATCTTGGAGTTAGAATTAAGTAATTAATTAGAATTAATTTTACATTTAGACTTTCAAAGCCCGAAATGCAGGAATTTGTGTGGAGTATTTTAACATAGTGGTAATGCTGTTTTAGATGAAGGCTTTGAATATTTCTTCCACCTCTGCTCCTGTTCAGACATTAATGAGTAAAGTCTGCTGAGTGAGGAGGTTAGATTTACCTGTGACAATCAAAAAGACTCCAGGCAGATCAGACTGTGTCCATCCTTCATGATCTTTGTTGAATCTGAATGTGTATCCTCCTGAGTCATTCTTCTTCAGGTTGTTGATGGTCAGGATGTGTTGGTTCTTCATGTTGTCCTGATACTCCACACGACCTGCAGCCTCAATCAGCTCTTCAACTTCCACTTCATCTTTTCTCCATTTTTTACTCCAACATTTAAACTCTGGCTTCATGTTATCAGGATGTGAGTATTCACTTGTGATGTTGACTGAAGATCCTTCCAGAGCACAGATTCTCCTGCTGACATAATTCACTCTCCAGCAGTTTTTATCCTGAACACCTAAAATATAGATGGAAGATTTAAAGTTGTACAAATGATCTTTATGATAATAATAACTGGCAAAATAAACATAGTTCTGTATTACTCACAGACTTCTGCAGACTGAAGATAGGTGTTGCTTTTGACTGCACAAAAGATGTTTGCTTCCCGAGAGTTCCAAAAATTAAGCCAATATTCAGCAACTAAATGTTGATTCTCTCTATAACTTTGTCTATTTCTGTACCACATGTAGGCAGTTTGAGGGTCAGTCAGTGTACAGCTGGTGTTACAGGTCAGTGTGACAGACTCCGCTTTTCCCCCTTGAGTCTTCAATATGTGAACCTCTTTAAAGAGATAATAAATATATTTTCTATAAGTCACTGTGAGATATAACAATCTTCTTATTATGTTTTTAATAATAATAATAATAATAATAATAATAATAATAATAATTATATATATATATAAATCAATGGAGAGAGTAATTTAAAAAAGTTAAGAGTTTTTTTTCACAAACAGTTTTTCTGTGGAAAGTTCACCTCTGGGATATGTGATGGAGCACGGCTCATCTACTGATGTCTGCCTGTAAGAACACATTCTCCCTTTAGCATAGGTCACACTGAAGCATGTCTCTGTGATGGAACCTGAAACAAAGAAATGATATTGATTGAAATTATTCACCGTATGACCCATTGTGTTTGTTTTGTAGAACAATAAACATCATGACTCACCCACAGAGACTTCAGGGGCTCTGAGATCCTCGTAGCCTTTGACAGCACAGGAGTATGTGACTGCTTCCTCACTGCTGAGCAGCTCTTGGTACCAGGGAGACCAGTCCTCATTGAGAAACTCTCTGTTCTTGTACCAGATGTAGGCTGCAGGCTTTTCAGTCAGAGGACAGCTGCTGCTGCACATCAGTGTTACTGTCTGTCCCTCTGTGGCAGGAATCACCTTTACCTGCAGCTCTGAGAGGATGATGGACAACAACTTATACAATGATGTCATTTGGAAAGTTATTAATGAGTAAAAGTCACTGTACCTGCAACAACTTGAAGAGTAATTCTGTTGAGCCAACAGCGTCCTGTACCGTCTGTAGTCTTCATACAGCAATAAGCGTTTGCATCACTCTCTCTTAGATCATTGATGGTTAAAGTTGGGTTTTTCTCTTCAGACATGTTGTACGTTACACGTTGTCCATCCACAGAGAGCTCACTCTGAACATACTCTGATCCATTCCAGTGTGCAGTGAACCATTTTCTGCTTGAAGTCAGATGTTGATGTGAGCAGTGCAGATCCACTGATGAACCTTTGAGAGCACAGATCCTGGTTTCTCCTCCATTAACACCTTTAACACAAACTTTCATTTACAAAACATATTGTTTTTTGCTTTACTAACATGAGCATTTATTTTATTCTCTATTGTAAGAAATCAGCTAAAATTAGTAACTCATTTATAAATCATAAGTATAATAATCATATCAACTTTTATACTTTTCTCTGTCAGTATGTAGCGGTACATAATTTATCACTCATACCTGAAATGCACAAAATGAGTCCCAGAAACATCAGTTGAAAATCTGTCAACAACATGATGGCTGTAGTCCCACTTTCCAGCAGGAAAAAATATAAATAAATAAAATAAATAAATAAATAATAATAATAATGAATATAAAAAAAATAACTGCTATGTTCAAATACAATGCAGCACAGAGTGAACGATAGTCAGGGCTGAAACTGGACTCCTGTATCACATTAATGTGGTGATCAAAACTTCCTTCCTCTTTTTCTCTGAGAGCGCGGGCTTTTTTTTTTTTGTGTGTGCCCCGAATTTGAAGGAGTCAACATGTTAAGGTTATTATTTTATTGTTGTCACTTTGATTTGACCAACAATAATTTATTTTACTGACGTTATGTTTTGAGCCTTCAATGAGTTGTGCAGTTGTGTTAAGCTGTGGAGAGTTGATAAAACTGTTGCCTGCACTCGGTTTATGCTGGAAACACTACAGTCATGAAGAATCTCCGACTCTGCCTCGGTGATCATTAAGTGTACTGCAGAAAAGTCCAAAGTAATTTGATTAAGAAAAGCAATACATGTATAAAACATATAACTGTTTCTATGTTTCGTGTTTTTTGGTGTGTTTTGGATGCATTTGGTCACCTGGTTTCCTGGCTACCTGTCTTTCACGTGTGAAGACCAAAGTTTAAAAGTTGGAACACGATCAAATAAATGGTGAAAATTCAACAAATGACCACAGGTGTGTGTGGGTTGTACAGCAGAAGTGGAATGGATCCATATGTCACCCTGTATTCTGTGTAGTTATATTGCAGGTTTTCACTGGAACATAATGCAAGTTTTCTACATTTCACACACCGGTGATGATCAAATAAACAACGAGGAATCATTCATTACATTTATTCAACATAAATTATGTAAACAATCACTTGTTCCAGGATTCAAAATGTAAAGACTCAGTTTTACTAAAACTGTTACCACTGAGATAATTACAATTATTAATAATCTTTAATACACTGATAATTTAGTGACAAAAACTTTTCCCAGCATGAAATATTCAGATAACCTCAGCAACAAATAATCTGAAGATCCTTTATATGATTAGACACTCTAAAGCTAGAATATAACATGTAAGCTTCAAGATTAAACAATCCCTGAACCCTGTTTGTAATGTAAATAAAAACAAAATGCATTTATTTGCTAATTCCTTAAACCAATATTTCACAACACTAAAGGTTTGTTGTCAATTTTTGTATCTTAACAAGAATACAAATAAAAGCACAAGGCTGTTGATCCATGTTCATTTAAAAGTTAAAAGAGTTTGAAGAGTGAGAGCAGAGACGTGAGGTGGTTTATGTGTATTCTGTCAAACATGAAAAAGAAACCAGCTAGGAAGCTGTTTGAGGTTTTAAAGAGTGTGAAAACCACACACATTGTAAATGTGTGTGAAAACAACTGACAGACACTCCAGCTGAGGTGTCTCTGCTATAAAAATGAAGATTTTCCAACCACCAAACCGATCGGAAAAAAGTCCCTTTTAACCACTATGGTAACAAACTATTCTTTAGTGATCGGACAGAGGCTCGATGATGGAGATCAGCTGTGTTTTTACTGAAGATAGAAGTTATAGCGATGAACATCCTGCTGTGCTGTATGTTCTTAGAAATTTCCATATATGAGATTAGGATTCAAGCAAATAGACAGACAGTACGAGCAAGTGAGTTATTTAACACTCAGGATATATTTTTTTATCTTATTCAGTAAAAAAAATATATCTTAAGATAAAAAAATAACATGCAACTCACAGTGTGTCTAGGTTGGGTTCTAAACAAAACAGTGAAGAGTGCAAGTTGTTAAAATTATGGCCCAAATCTTCTTTTAACAGTCATTCATCTGTAGTTTACAATTTTAATGCTTCAATGCTGATCGTGTTATGCTGCATGATGATTTTTCAGACTCCCTAAACCACATTTATCTTTTAAAAGTTCAGAGAAGTCGGTGAATGAAATTATTAGAAAAAACATTGCAAAAATAACAAGAACAAGCTTTTTTTTTTTTTTTTTTTTGTTATTTTTACCATGAACAAAATCTAAAATTAGGCAACTTCTCTCTGGACTAATACTAGGTAACCACCATGGTCTCTGTTAGTTCAATAACCAGAGACAAAATAAAATAAAAAAATTTAACTGCTCTCTGAAGTTCAGATCTAAAGCCTTAAGATCTGAACTTCAGGTCTTAAGGCTTTTTGGGCCTTATTTTGGGTCTTACTTTGGTACTGAGTAAGACCCAAAATGACCCACTGGTACCAGTAACCAGATATCGCCATCTGGTGGCTTTCAGACAAAATGCAGGTTTAAGGCACTTACTTATTGGCTTAGTGTTTCTGACCTAGAATATACGGCTGTGTCCAAATTCAGGGGAAGGATGCTTCAAATGCTGTATTTGGAGGTAATGATGTCACAGCGATGCAACGAAGGCTGTCCAAATTCAAAGAGTCTTCCAAATGTGGCGACAAATGCATCCTTCATTTCCCCAAATTTCAAGGATGGGTTGGGTAGGGGGTGACGAGCAATTGGTTTTTGAGCACTCTACCCTCTGCATTGATGGGGAGGAGGTAGAAAGGGTAGAAAGCTTTAAGTTCCTCGGAGTCCACATCTTGGCTGACCTTACCACAAACATTTCCCACCAGGTGGGGAAAGCACAACAAAAGCTGTACTTTCTCAGAAAACTATGTCAGGCCCAATTACCCCAGACACTGCTAGTAAACTTCTACCGCTCCACCATCAATAGCCTTCTGACCTACTGCTGTAGAAGCTTCTACCCACAGGCTGTCAAACACGCCCTACCTTGACCCTGATTGGAGGTTAACTGCACTGCCAACACCCATGGACATTACACTTTATTTATAAACCGTATTTCTATTTATACTTCAATGCAACCAACATCCCTACCTCTTTAAACTGTATTTATCATAACCTTATTTATTCCAGTAGCAACAGCAATCCCCCCCCCCCCCAGAAACGCCAGAATCTCAGGTTAAAGCTTTCATTTCAACACCAAACAGCAAAAACAGTAAATGAGAGCAGATAAACGGATTCCACACATAGATGTAAACACAAAGCGATAAATATATCTATATATTGATAAATATCATCATTAATTCCCTCTTACCTTTCCTGTTTTGTTTCCACCATGATAAAATCACTGCTCTTTCTCTCTCTCAGTGTAATCAAGAACAGTTTCTCATCTCAAATCTCTGTTTTCTGCATTATTTGCTTGCTTATTACGATTATGTACAACTCTGTCGGCCGCTGTTTTGGTCTTATTTTTTTTCAAAAATGACTTCTGACAAGAAAGCCTCATTTCTGCTGTTCAATACCGAAGAAATTAAAATTTTTTAAAATGATACCAAATTGCAAAACTCTCCACTGTATCTCTAATAAAAACCTCTGTAACTTTGCTCTGCTTCACTTCAGCAGCATCATGCAATGTTTATATGTTAATTCATGATTTCTTTCATTTTTGTTCTACTGCAAAATATTTTCAAGGTTATCTGCTAGAAAAAGCTATTACAAGAAAGTCTGTATGCTTTTCTGTGTTTTATCCTCAGTTACTTTGACACAAATGCATCTGCTGTGATGCTTACACCTCTGATGAAGTCCCAGAAGTGTCAGCTTTGTTTTTATAAATATAAAAATATGGATATGTCCTAGGAACAGCTAAGATACTGTGCAGGACCCTCAAGCTCCCAGGCCTCTGGTAGAGGACCCGAGCTTGAAGGATTGACTACCCACAGGGGCGAGCGGGGAATTTTTTTTTTTAATGTATGTATGTGTGTATCTGTATGTACGCATGCGTATGTATATCTTTCTTGTGTAAATGTAAATGCCACTGTTATTGTGTAGATACTTCCCTTCCCAGACGCCTTAACGCCCACTCACACCCTGGGCCATCTGACCTCAGGAATTCGCATGATAAGGTGGGGCCAGGTTTCACAATGAACCCACCCGAAACTCTGGCTGATTGGGACCCACACCCAGTTCCACACCTTGGCTCAGGCGATTAGAGGATCATCAGGGGGTCCTTTTGTCCCTCTGTGGGGGGACACTCCCACTAGGGTTATATCTGGGACTCTCCACCATTTGACCTTAGAACTGAAGAAGCCTCTTGGATGAGAGGTGAAACGTCTTCAAGTAACTTAAAGAAGTCCAGACGCTTTTCTTTGCAAGCTCCTTTGACTACGATGACCTGGATGACTGAGAACCTTCACAGACATCCTAATAGCTTACTTACAACTGGGCTCGTCGGGCACTCTTTTTGGCTGCAGTGATTATTATTATATTTACATGCTTCCATCTCCTGTTTCTGGTGGGTGACAACTCGTACTTTTTGACTCTCCTTTTTCTCCCTCCCTTGTGCTCACAGCTCACATAACCGGTATGGCAGTTCATTCTCCCTGCAGCACGGACTACACTGCCCATGAGGCTACATTCTTTGGGCTATGCCTGTAACACTCTGCCTTTTGCCTTCATATTAAATTATTTATAATTTACTACTTACGGGGAGCAGGTAGGTAGGATCCTTTGAAGCATCCTTCCCCTGAATTTAGACACAGCACCTATCAGGTAGGCAAACCAAGTGCACTGTCTTCATTGCTTCTTA